CTGTGTTATTTAGACATAAAAAACTTTGAAACCTGATGTCAACAATAACAACATTTAAGAGGGTAGACAATATAAGAGTTTGTATAAAAATAAGTGAAAAAATCAGAAGACAATGGAAAATAGTGGGTAAGGTGGTGTAATTATGAATATCATTAACCATCAATGTTTTCCCAAAGCATAGATTTAAAAATAGCTAACAAGTATATAAAATAGTAAGGAGAAAGGTTTAGAGGGAAGGCTGGAGTAATAATTTCTCTAAATAGGACTGGTTTTTACAGACATCATGGGATGTCACTATCCCTGACTAAATACCAACAGATACCAAGTTCAGCATTAGCTTCATCAAAATCATAGTGAACCAAGTCTCACAACACAAAATTGTGAAACAAACTATAGGTTCTATCATTAACGTATGCTTTTATTTAAGATAAAGACACACACATCAGAGCAAAGACACAAAGTACTAAGTGGAATATAAATAAAAAACTTATTTTTGTATTGCTGTATAATACTTACCAAGTAATAACTGTAGTATATAAAATATAAGTCCAAAGACACTGTTTGGCTGGTTTAATGCACCATCCTTTCCAAAAATGGAACCCAAAAAACCAAATCCTCGGCCCCATCTGTAAAATAAGGAAAACCAGTAACCCTGTATTTGAATTTTCCTATTTTAAAAAGTGTAAAATTATTTGAGAATGTTATGCCAATATACCCATCCGAATCTCTAAATTGCCAGTTTCTATATAGCCTCTTTTCTAAAAGGTAGGACAAAGTATTCTTTTTCTGATGGCATTAGTATTTACAGAAGGACTCTCTCAAAAAATTGTTTTTATTTATTGATTTGAGAGACAGTGACACATTGATTTGATGTTCACTTATTTATGCACATTGGCTGATTCTTGTATGTGTCATGAACAGGGATGGAACCCTGCAACCTTGGCATTTTGGGATGACACTCTAACCAACTGAGCTACTCAACCAGGGCCCAGCTCTCTCAATTTCAGCTAGGGTTTCTTAGCAGTGGCACCATTGACATTTTGGACTAATTCTTTGTGGTAGGGGCAGTTCAGTGCATCACAGGGTGCTTAGCAACCATGGCCAAATGTCCTCTGGAGCAAAATATCCCCCAACTGAATGCCATTAATGTAAGTTGTCCTATTTGTTCATTCAAAGTATGTAGACAGAGAGGCAGATCCAAAATGGTGGCATAGGAAGATGCTGAGCTTGCCCCTCCCAAGAACACATCCAATGTACACCTATAGTTAGAGAAATTCCTCCTGAGAGACAACAGAACAGCTTCTGCACAACAAACAATAGAGACCACATGGAGAAGGTTGGGGAAACACAAGAGCTCTTCAGAAGTTGCAGGAACCCTCCAGGAACAGAGAAGCCGTGAGAGCCATTGTTTACTTTCCCTTGCACGTGAACAGCAGGTGGGAACTCTATCCAGGTTCTCTGGCCATCCTGCAGGGCTGTCTTGGCATGTACCAGCAAGCTCTCCCAGAGCTAGCTCCAGCACAACAAGAGGGCAATGGAGCATTCATACAAGGGGCCCCACTACCCAGATTGAGCCAGCGGGTATGGCAGAGAGAGTGCAGAGCTAGCAAAATGCTGTGGTACCTGCTGCCTGTCCAAAGAAACTGCAGAGACAGTGGGGCGCTGCTGCTCATGCATATGTGGTTGCCCCACTGGGAGAAAGTGTGCAGGTAGCAAAGACTTATGGTACGAGTGGGCACTGCTGCACACATGGGACTGCTCCATCCAGAGAAAGCTTGAAGCTAGTAGGACAATCTGATACACTCACTCAGAGCAGCCCTGCCCAGACCCAATCGGGCTACAGACAAAACAATACAGGCCCATACCAGACAGCCCGCCCTAAACCCACTCCTGGCCAGGCCACACGAGGCACCACCCCTACAACCAGCCTGCCAAAACACGGGCTACAGACAAAACAATACAGGCCCATACCAGACAACCCGCCCTAAACTCACTCCTGGCCAGGCCACACATGAGGCACCACCCCTACAACCAGCCTGCCAAAACCATCTGGTATGCAGTCTACACTGAGGCTACTTTTCAAGATTGAGAGAGAAAGCTATTTTATCTAATTCATAGGAATAAACCCAGAAAGTAAAACAAAATAGGGAGACAGAGAACATACCCTGAAATTCATCCAATGAGGAGTTGATATCCAAAACACATAAGGAACTCATTTAAGAGAATAACAAAAAATATATAAACAATCCTATAAAAAATAGGCAGAAGACATACAGTTGACCAACAAACATATGAAAAGATACTAAACATGTTCTATGTTGACATTTTGATAATAGCCATTCTGACTGGTGTGGGTGGTATCTCATTGTGTTTGTGATTTGCATTTCCCTGATAATTAGTCATGTATAGAACCTATTTTTAATTTTTGGAGGAATCTCCATATTGTTTTCCATAGTGGCTGCACCAGGTTGCTCAACCACTGAGCCACGCTGGCCAGCTGAATGAGTGTGTTTTTTAAAATACCAAAAAGAAAACCAGTCATTGTTTTAAGTCCATTACAAAGCACTCAATAAAACCCAAACTTTGCTTCTGAAGATAAACTACCTCCAAGAACAAGGATAAATGATTATTAGTCACACTATTTTAATAGTACTCAGTGTCCAAGAAATAGAGTGAAACCTCTTCATAAATGATATTGAGAGATCAGAATAACCTCAATTTTACAAGCAAGAGCCATGAATATTTTTATTGTACAGAATTATACATTTCAAGTAACACAAAATATCTCCTCCATATTCACGTATTCTTTTGCACATCGAATACTTATTGAGAATGTTCTAGGTGCAGATAGAGTCAGGTGCTGGGGTCTAGGAGTGTACAAGTCAGACAAGGTAGTGCCCCTGCAAAGCTGGTTTCATTTAGGGAGAATAAACAGGTAAACAAATGACTAAGTTACCTTCAGAAACTGAGGAGCCTATTAGCAGATATGCAAAATGCTCTCAGGTGATGCTCATGCTTCTGGTCTGAGAACCACATGCAGTACCACTGCTCTGGATGGAGGAGTGGAGGGGGCTACTCTAGCTAGGTGGTCAGGTAAGGACTTTTAAAGGAATTAAGTCCTGAATGATGAAAAGCAGCCAGTCTCAGGAGGAATGGCAAGTTGAGGCAGGATTGAACTATGAGTGTGCAAAAGAAGGGCATTAAGGCTACCACAATGATGAGGAGACAGTGACAAAAGACTGGGCAGGAGCCTAATTATTTACATTATTTATGGCCTTATTTGTAGGCCATGATGAAGAGTTTGAAATTTATTCTAATTGTAATGGGAAGAAATTAAGTGGCTTTTAAATAGGAGAGTAACATAAGCTAGTCTATGATCACTCTTGACTACTGTGTAAAGAACAAACTGCAGGAGGGCAAGGTTACAGACAGAGTGAAATTATGAAATCAAACTGCTTAGCCTTAATCATCTGAAGTAGGAATTCAAATGTAAATCACCACCTTTGACAATGAAAATATAATTGGGCACACTGCCAAAATTATCATGGATAAACAGAATATTTACATATTCCAAGCACTGGTCTATGACTAATTATTCACATAGGATCATGTGGATATTTTCCTTGAAAACAATGCAGTGATCCACAGAATGAATACATCATTTATCAAAGTAATACATGCATAACGTTTAAAAATCAAGTAACACTGAAAGCCTTATAAAACAAAACAGACATTCCCTACTCTAGCCCTCTCCACACTCAGCTCTAATCGCCAGAGGCACACTGTATTTGCCTCCTATTTACTTCATTTCTAAATATGCTTGCATTGCTAGTTCTTGATTTATTATTTCTATACTAGAAGCCCAGTGCACAAAAATTTGT